AGTAACATGCCCCCTAATAACGATTAGTTTTAATATTAGTTTTCAGTATTTGGCCTTAATATGAAGAATAAACCTGCGTCAGTTACACATAGTAATGCATCAATTTTACGTAAAAAAAATGTTTTTTTTTTAATATTTTCTTCAGATCATTTGGAATAAAAACCACCATGGAATAAAAACCACCTTTTTGTTTGCGTAGTTTGTTATCATTTGTGTTTTTGTTGCTTATTATTTTTATTGTTGTTCGCTGTTATTTTTAACTGAGTGTTTTCATATTTTGTCTTATAATTTAATTTATTATAATTTAATCATTTTTTTTTACTATAATATAATTTCTTTTTATTTATTAATATTGCTATTGATTTTTTTGTTTGTTTGTTTATTTTATTTAGATATCACTCCAATGACTATTGTTTTTATTTATATGAGTGACACCTAAACTAATTTTGTAAATTATAATAAGATTTTTAATTTTTTAATTTTTGGTTAATTAAAAATGGATATACATATGTATATACAGTGCTCCAAGTGGGAGCACTGTATATACTTATGTATATCCGTCACCTTTTTATAAAGTATAAACCATCCCACCACCTTTTTATTAATCTCTATGTATAACAATAATTATTATACATAGGCATGATGGTATTTTTAATTTACCCAATACCATCCCATTATTTCTTTTCTCCACTTTGAGTACTGTGTGTGTGTCTCTCTCTCTCTCTCTCTCTCTCTCTCTCTCTCTCTCTCTCTATATATATATATATATATATATATATATATATATATATATATATATATATATATATATATATATATATATATATATATTATATTATTTATATATATATATATATATATTTATTTATTAAAATGTTTAATTAATTAAACATATAATTCTTGAACTATTAAAAAAAAAATTGATTAGTATGATTGGTTGGTTCTATTCATTGGTTCTTTTTGTTTTAAAATAGTTAATTTAAAGTAAATAAATAATAAATATTTTGTACTACTACTTCTTTAATAAATATTTTGTACTTTTGTACTCAATACCTAATATTATACCTATCTAATTTTATACCTATCTAATATTAAACATTTCTTATTTATGTATGAACAAAAATATGTTTGCAGATAGAGAATTGCCTCAAAACTAATTTGAAAAGTGGAAGGGCTACTTCCTTTAAACCCTTTAATACAGTTCTACCTGTTTACTATCTCTATTTTAACCCCTTATATATATATATATATATATATATATATATATATATATATATATATATATATATATATATATATATATATATATATATATATATATATATATATATATATATATATATATATATATATATATATATATATATATATATAATATATATATATATATATATATATATATATATATATATATATATATATATATATATATATATATATATATATATATATATATATATATGTATATATATATATGTATGTATATATACACACACACACACACATAAATTATATATGTGTGTGTGGGACTTTTTGGTAACTCCAGTTTCCAATATAAAAACAGATGAACTTTAGTTTGAAAGTAACTGAAAAGTTGTTTACTTTCAAACTTAAAAGAATAATTTAAAAATGTAATAAAATTTTTCAATGTTGGAATTAATTAGGGGTTGTTTATAAAGTACATACTCTTTTAACCTGCCTACTCAACATTTTATGATATGTTATTTAATTTAGTGTCTCCTTACTTTTATAATCGACCACCTGTCCCCCATCCCATATACACTATTTCCACACAGATGATCCCTTATTTGGCAAAATGGTCAGTTCCTATGACCAAGTATGATGTTTTTTTGTTAATGCTTCTCAACAAAGTATTAGAATAGAAACATGTTGAAAAAATCATTACATATTTAAGTGAAATTGTTATATTGTTTATGGATTCTATTTATGAAGAAATTATGTATAAAAAATCTTTTATTGAAAAAGAACCATGTCAAGAATAGAAAATAAAAGATGTGCATGATAAATGGTTGCACTATTTCATAAAGACTGAACAGACAGAAAGGTTTCCATGAAAGGTCAGTAGTAAACGATAATCCAAGAAAATGTAAAAAAATGACTTAGTGAAAGGGTTGCCATTTATTATTATAGGAATTCATCAGGAAAAAAAGCTACTTTATATGTAAGGTTATTGGGAAGGGTATTAATGTAGATAAGAAACAGAAAGACCAAGGATAGAACCTTGAGGTACCCCAGAAATTACTGGAAATAAAAAAGAGTGTTGGCCTCCGAGGATGACTTTATTAAAGCAGTTAGAAAAAAATAATTTAATAGTTTCAAAAACTTTCCTAGATACACCATATAAACAAGCTTATGGAGAAACCAGCATGGCAAACTTTTTCAAAAACTTTAGATATGTCAAGAGCAATAGTCCTAGCTACTATGCATCCATTTAATGCACAAAAAGTTTTTTCAGTCACAGCAATTAGCAAGTCAGCTGTAGAGCTAAAGGATCCAAAACTGTATTGATTGTTTGGCTGTAAGTTATTTGACTCGATTTGATATGGGGTGTGAGAATTTTGGACAATAATTAGAGGGGTCAGAATGCTCACTAGAGTTTTTGAAAATTGGAACAACAGATGCCATTTTCCAGCTGACAGGAAAACAAGACTCAGTCAAGCACTTATTAAATAGTTTAGAGAAAATTGAAGAGAGTTCTAGAGAACAATTTTGTAAAACTGTGATAGGAATGTTGTCTGGACCACAAGCCGTAGAAGAGTTGAATCAAGATATGGCTTTAGCAATGGAAGCTGGAGTGATTTGAATGTCTAACAATGGGTTAACCTTTTGAATTGGAATGAAAGAGAATGACCATAATATTCAAGAGTTGAATTAGAAGAAAAGTTCTTTGCAAATAGTTCTGCCTTATCCTTGAGAGAGTTAATAAGATCAGTACCATGAATGAGAGATGGAATGTTAGACCTATCCTTGGTAGGTAGTAATGACACTGTTGAACTTTTACAAGATAGTAACTGGATTTAGTTAACATCTGCCTAAGATGATTATTTTTATCAAGACACCATATCAAGAAAATATAAGTACAAACTTTATTTTAAAATAATATTCATAGTTTTTAAAGCATTTATTCAGCTACATTTATACATGCTTGAAACTGGTTAACTCTGAATATATGGTAGCCATTTTGTTAAACATTTGCTAGTGGTGTACCTTTTTGAAGGTAGCAAATGTTGTGTACCTTGGTATTACCACCAAGGTACACACTTACCTAATTTTGGGAGTATTAAGAGTAAAATTTGTTTGAAAGTATTTCTTTAAGAAAATTTATGCAACAGAATTTTAAGAACATACTAACAATCAAATCAGATTACAATGATTTTATCCACACACAAGTCACCAAATGCAGCCCTTAGACAAAGGTAGATGAATGGCACTTACAATTTTTATGTAAGTGCCATCCATCTACTGAATAAAGACATTTTCTAATATTATGAGTTCCTGCTATCCAAGTAAAAGGTTAAAAAACAACAACTTGACATCAAAAAACAAAGTGAAACTGGTAAGAAAGTATTTGTTTTGAAGAAAACTTGGATTCTAGATTCAGTTGAAAACTTGGAAACTAAATTCAGAGGAAAATGTATTAAAATTTAAAGAAAATTTTTTTCAGATTAAAATTTTAGGAAAATTTTTTACCTTTCCTTTCAACCTCTCAACAACAATTTTACAGCATCAAACTGTAAAAAAATTTAAATTTTGATAATATAAAATTTTTGTAATTGAATTCCATTGCAAATTTATGAGCTCTTTTACAATGTGCTTTGCTGCTGTTTTTGTTTTCTTTTTGCTGATTGTGCAATGATAGTTTCAAAGGTTTAAAACTTTATTATTGAAGTATTAGAATCTCTGAATTTTAAATTTACTTTAATTTAATTTAGTAGAATAACCAAAGATAAAAACAACTCAAATCATATATATATAATATAAAAAGATATATGGGCAATTCAGCTAGAAAGAGGAAAAAAAGAAAAAAAAAAGCAAAGAAGTTATGAAAACACATACTAAACTCTAAAGCTTTTTTTTTTTAACTATTTAAAAATACTTTTAAGCAAAAAAGTTATAAAAAAAATCATTTTGTTATACAATAGCATGGTTATAAAGTTGTAAGGGTCATATATCATTGATTGCGTTGTTTTAGTTGCTGTTTTTAAGCTTTGGATTTTTAGTTATGACCGTCACAACAAAAAAAACATAAAAATGCTTGTAAAACTTCAGATAAAAACTATGAAACTCAGCATATAAAAACATCAATATTTGCTAAGTATACACATCAAATGATTTTTTTTTTTAAATATGTTGTTCACTGCATTAAGTCTGACTAAGTTGTTTTGTTCAGAAGAGGTAAAAAGTAAGCGTTATGACCATCACGCTACTTGGAGTTAAGTTTTGAAAAAAATTAACGACTTTAATGTTGTAACTTTTACATACTAAATTATATGATAGTGTTTCACATTTCTGTAAAGTTTCACGTAATTTCCATTTTTGGTTCATTTTTAATAGCTTAAAGAGTGTCAAATGTTACGACCGCCACTCTCAATATTTGATTTTTATGATAAAAAATGTGTGATGACCTTGGAATTATTTAAAAAGTTTTATGAATTATATGGTTTTAAATTAAATGAGTTTTCTTGTAAGTGTGTAATTGACAGGCATTTTGACAGGACAAATAAAAAAAAAAATAGTAAATAGTACAAATAAATAGGTGTTCTAATTAGATTTATGCTAATTCCATTTATGCTTTGCAAAAATATAAAAAATTATATTTTTATATAGATTTAGTTTGTTTATATAACTATGAAGTTTTTTAAATCACATTGTGATTGTAGTAACAATGATTGTAAAAAATAATAATAATGATAATTGTAAATAATAATTATAATAATAATTATAAATAACAATTATAATTTATTATTGTTTATCTTTAGTACGTTCTTCAGGAAATTCTATCAATGAAACCAAATATGGTATGAGTTTAGTGTATATTTTTATTTTTAAGGTTAAGGAAGATTTTTAGTTTTGATTTTGAAATTTACTTTAAAAAGTATTTGCATATAGCATTTTATACTATTGTTGCATTTATACATTTACAAATATTTTTAAACATTTTTTTAAAATTCTTTTTTAATTATATTCAAATATTTTATGACCAGAATTTTTTTGTGTATATATATATATTGGTATTGTATAATGATTAAAATAAGAAAAAAAAAATAAATGGAGTTTTTTCAAACTATTATGCTATATGTTAAATATAACAGATATAACATATTATAAATATATTTATATCTTGTATTATATTTTTATTATTTTTCTTTTTGTTTATTTTGTGTTTTCTTTTTCTTTTGTTATTGATATCAGTACATGAAGTATTTATATCAGTACATAAAGTATTGATTGATTATCAGTGTTTTTTTTGACTTGCCTGAGCATTTAATTGAGGGTAAACTATTTTGTCTTTCAAAACAAATAATGTCTGATTGCTAAAGGGTTTTGATGATTTGATCAATTTAATGATATTATTTGCAAATAACAGCTCCTACAAGAAAAAACTTTAAATTCAATCCATTTCTTCATTATCTATTTTGATAATGTCATTTATACATTGCTGTTATGTCACTAACTTCTCTTTAACTCTGTGTCTTACCACTCCAAACTTACCAGACTCTCTCTAAATCTCTTTAAGTTATTTTTTATCGTTTAGCAAAATTTAATTGGGAAGATCCTTTAAATCTTCAAAGCTGTTTAGTAGATGAAGAAATCATGATCAGGTATTTAGTTGGAAATTTTTATTTTTAATTAAAAAAATAAATAAAAGATTTAACATCATTTTTAAAACAAAATTGCATAGAGACCAAGTTCGTACATATGCACAGGAACATCTTATGCCTCGAATAACACTGGCTAACCGAAATGAGGGTATATTATGTTTTATATTTATTATTTTATTTTTGTTTTATTTTTTTATTATCTCTTTATGCAGCTATGTAGATTTAGATTCAAATTTACCTGATTGTACTATACAGGCCTTGTTTTAAATAGAAAAATGCTTATCACAATAGTCTAATGTGAATTTGACGTCATAAAATTCTCTTTATTTTTTTATTTTTTAAAGACATTAACTTTTTTAAATTACTGCAATAATATTAATGACCGCAAAATGAGTTAAATGTTATTTAACAGCTTTTTTATTATTATTATAAAGGAATGTTTATTTTCTTTTATTTTTTTTTTTAATATTAAATAATTAAGTTTAATATTAAGTTTTTAAAAATGTTTGATATTAAAAAATGTCTTTCTTTTCTCAACATTTGCATAAATGAAATAAAATATGTTAAATTTTTTAATTTTTAAATGATTATTTCTTAAATTTCTAACTACAAATAATTTTTATTTTTAAAAAAATTAGCAAGTAGCAAATAAAAAAAATTACGTTTATTTACTTTATTTATTAAAAGTTTATTATTTTATTTACAATTTTGGTGTGAAACCAAAGATTGTTTTTCCAAACATCGTTTATTAAAATTATATCACTGTATTGTTTTTTTTATTAGAAAATAATCGCTACGATTTAAGTTGTGTTATAAAAAAAAAGTTTAACTTATGTTTTGTGCAAACTTTTGAAGCAGTTGTTTATTTAAAATTTAATTTTGAGTAAAAAAAAAATTTTTAGGAAGGAAAACCGAAAAAAACAATTGCATTAAAAATGAACTCATTTTTTTTTAAATAAATAAAATTTAAATATTGAACAATATTTAGTAATATTTTTAAATAGATTTGACAGTTAAGTTAAACCCAAGCATTATTTTAATTTTACTAAACTTAAATACATTAAAAATAAATTTTTGTTTTTTAAATCTAAATTAAGTTATATGTTTTTTTTATCAGAATAAAATTATATATTTTTATTAAATTATTTTAAAATTAAATCATATACTTTTTATCAGAACTAAATATTATTATTATGATCTTTGCTTCAAGCTTAAAGTATTAGTGTTTTGAAAATTGTAAAACTTTCGCTTATAGAATAATGCTTAAAGAATAATTTGAAAATGATAAAAATTCGCTTAACTAAAGTCGCTTACTGCTTACATAGAATTGCTTAAGGCGTACGTAAATTGCTCTATGTGTTACACTATAAAACAAGGCCTGCTATATATGCCTGAATGTAGTGAGGCTGGTATATAACTGAGGCTACTACATATTCCATGGTTTTATGTAATCTTCATGGTTTCATATAATCTGGGGTATAAATTATGTATGGTAGGTATGTACTATTTTTTGAAATATTACTTAGCCAAAAAACAGTAGCTCTTGCAATAAACTATGTTTATAAAGTTTAAAATGTTAAAAAAATTTTCAAGTTATTGCATTTTGGCTTTTTACAACACTATAATATTTTATTTAAACTGTATAAATGGTATGTTGTATTTTTACATATATCTTCAATTAATTTTTTGTCTTGTACTTTTCAGAATTTGACAGAAACATAATGTATGAAATGGGAGATATGGGTTTGTTGGGTGCTACATTAAATGGTTTGAACTTATTTTAGTTTATTCACTGTTGACCAAAGAGACTGCCAGGAAACATTATGAGTATTAAGTTCTGTAGGTTAAGAAATGTAAGTCTATACAATGTGTTAAAGATTAAAAAAATGGAGCAAAAATATAAGTTTTAGGAATCTTAGACCTATTTAAGAACTTTTTTTTACTTCCATCTGCTATTTTAATTTTTATTTTTAGTAAATTTGTTATTAAAAATAAAAATTAATCAAAGTTCTCTAATATTTTGTTTGAATTGTTTCCATCACCTACCTAGGTAGCTCTACCTAGGTAGCTCTACCTAGGTAGCTCTACCTAGATAGCTCTACCTAGGTAGCTCTACCTAGGTAGCTCTACCTAGGTAGCTCTACCTAGGTAGCTCTACCTAGGTAGCTCTACCTAGGTAGCTCTACCTAGGTAGCTCTACCTAGGTAGCTCTACCTAGGTAGCTCTACCTAGGTAGCTCTACCTAGATAGCTCTACCTAGGTAGCTCTACCTAGGTAGCTCTACCTAGGTAGCTCTACCTAGGTAGCTCTACCTAGGTAGCTCTACCTAGGTAGCTCTACCTAGGTAGCTCTACCTAGGTAGCTCTACCTAGGTAGCTCTACCTAGGTAGCTCTACCTAGGTAGCTCTACCTAGGTAGCTCTACCTAGGTAGCTCTTCCCTGTAGATATTTCTTATAATCTAATGTAGATTTCTTCACATCGTAAACAAGCTTTTTTCCGAGAATAACCAGACAAGATATATTATATAAGTCACAATTTAACAAAAACAGACATCTTGCAAATTCATCTTTTTTATAATTTAGCTCAACTGATTAGATTCAGGAATATTTTTAATAATAAATAGAAATAGGGAATGTTGTTATTCAAGAACTCATCTGAATCATTTTTCTTAGAACAGTCGAAGACATTGTTTATTACTTTAAAAAATAAACTTTACTTTAAAAAATATTATTTAACAACTCAAGCACAGTTTTTTTTTTCTTCCAGAGAAACAGCTAAATGAATAAAACAGCTCTTTTTTCATGAAGCCATGTTTACTTGCATGAAACATTCTTTGTTTACATGAAGCTTTCTTTATTTTCTTTAAGCTTAGGAGAATAGAAGTTCTTTTTGCTTTATTTTCTCATTTGCTAATTGTGACTTGGAGAAAATTTTTCAAAAAAATTATGAAATAAAATGAAAAGTAATTAAACAAAAGCTAAAATCATCAATTAAATTTTTTGTAACAATAAAATTTGGTTGATGACTTTAGCTTTTTTATGATTCCAGGAGCTGCCTATCAGGGATGTGGAGTTATTCTAGGAAAATAATTTGGACGCAGTACCCCTCATTTGTGTAAGTACCGATCATTTCTGGCAGGAAGATATTCTATTTGTGGTAGGGGAATATGTATAAACATTGTTGTATATAGGGATTTTTATGCTATAAAAAAAAAAACAGTATTTGCATTTTTTTTTGTTTAAATATATATTTAATGTTTATTTATTGTTTATATAGGGGTAATCTAAACTAAAGTTGTATCTATTATTTTTGATATAAAAAAGGTTTTGGTTTGAGTGCCACAACATAAAACCTGGTAGTCTCTTTGATCCACCATGTATAGTGTATTTAATTTTGATAAAAATCTTTTTAATTTTGATTTGCAATGACAGGTTATGGTTGTGCAGGTGTTTCATATGTAACTTATGGTTTAGTTGCAAGAGAAATTGAGAGGTTAGTATTAAACAGTAAATATAGAGTTAGTATGTAAATGATTAGAAGTTTAAATTTGTTCAGTTTGATGTCAAGGTGTGTAACACAGCCACTGTTTAACTGAAAATAAATCCCCCCCCCCCCTACTGTCAGTTTTGTATCATGCAAAGAGATAATTGAATTTTCAATAAGTTTTATCTCTTCATTTGTTATATCATTAGATTCTTTGACAAATCTAACTCTTATAGAGCGACAATAACGTGGCAAAGAGAAATTGGATTTTGCCAGATCAATCTGTTGTTTTTAATACGAGTTAATTGAAGCGGTACAAAAGAACTCTGAAATAAAATATCTCATAGTTGAAGCTGTTTTATTAAGGGATAAAAGAACTCAGTTTCTAATTTTTTTTTTCAATGAAAACGAGATTATTTCTATATTGGGCTAGTTTTTCAAAATGATATTTCAAAATGATATTTCACCTGTTCTTAGTGGTTTAATAAAAGGCTTTACTGGAAGTTTTTCTGCAAATTGTTTAAGTGAGCAATCATTAAAGAATCACAAACAAAGTTATAGGTTATACTGTATAGGTTATACTGTGCATCACTTATTACTAAATATAAGACTGCAAAATACATATAGTCTTAACAGATTGATATTTAAATGTATGAATGTAAGAATGATATAT